AAAAATTAAAAGTTATTGGATAAATATTAATTAAAAATTGAGATAAAAATTTTAAAAATTAAAATGAAAGAATTTATCAATAAAATTTAAAAATTCCAATCTACTAGCAATTTTGTGTAAAAAAACTACCTAAACTAATTTTTTCAATACGTTAGCGATTTGAACCCTATCTATTATTCGATAATCCCAAACTGTTAAATAAAAAGCCAATAGATTGAAAAAACTAATTTAGGTAATTTTTTGTACTAAACCGCTATCAAATTAGGATTTTTAATTTTATTGACAAATTTATTAATTATAATCTTTTTAATTTTTAACAATGACATTTAATTAATACTTATTTAATAAATTTTAATTTCATTTTTTATTTTTAATAACATTAATTCATTATTATATTTTTATTTTTTACATTAATTTATTATAAAAATATATTGTGCTTAATAAACAAAATTTGTGAATTAAACAGAATGATTATTTTTTCTTTAAAAATAATATAATTTTTTCTTTGTTAAAAATAGAAATGAGTATGTGATTATATTATTATAATTGATTTTATTTATTTATTTTCTTAATATTTTGTTTATAAAATTAATAATTTTAATAATAAAAAATATATTAAAAATACATTTAATTGTTTTTAAATATGCCTTTATTTATTATTTAATATTAAATAACAACCACTAATTATTAAATAGCTAAACAGTTATATCAATCGAATCTATTATTTATATTATTTACTAACCACTTATTCGCCATTTACTAACCGCTACCCGCTATCTGTCATCCACTAACCGTTATCTATTACTCGTTACCCATTACCCGCTACCCACTATCCACTAACCATTACCCACTATCGCTGCTTACTATCCGCTATTTGCCATCCATTGAATTTTAACTATTATATCAAATAGATCCTTTGTTTGCAACTTTTCTAATATTCTTGAGCATATAAGGTATTGACTTCCTTTAAAATATATATATATATATATTGCATCTAGTGAACCAAATGGGCAACAAAAATCCCACCCAAATGCCAAATCCCTTGCCATATAGGCATCACATTGCAATATTTAGCCACGA